AATCTTCCTCAAAAAAAAAAAAAAAAAAAAAGACAGAGACTCTCATATTGTATTCCTTTTGTGAAGCTTTTTGATTTTTACAAAAGACACTCCAAAAACATAATGATACACAAAGATTAAAGGAAAAAGAATAGATACCAGGGAAATACTAGCCAAAATAATCCTGGTAGGCATCTAATAACTTAGTCTCGACGTATGTACAAAAATTGATGGACTCACAAGGAGATATCGGCAAAACAGCAATCATAATGGGAGATTTTTCCCCAACATATTTTTGTGAAAAACTTCAAATTGTACCGCAAGTTGAAAGAATCTTACAGTGTACACCCAAATGCTTACTGCCTCATTCCACCAGCAACATTTTACTCTATATTTGCTTTTTCACATATCCATCTTTCTGAGCATTTATTAACCCATCTTATTTTCTATGCATTTTAAAGTAAATGGCAGAATCAGTTCCTTTTCCCTTAGAAACGTCATTACCTAAAGTTGACTGCAATTTTTTCTGTTGAAATAAATTTGCATACAATGAAACGCACAAATCTTAAGAGTACATTTGTCAAGTTTTGACAATGCATACACCTGTGTAACCTAAACTCCTGGCAAGATAGGGAACACAGTCATCACTTCATAAAGTTCTCTCAGGTCCCCTCGCAGTCAATCATAATGGGACATTTTAACACACTTTTCTCAGAAACTGATGGATTGTTACTGAACAAGGGCTCACCACCTGATGTGCACAGAAGCTGACACTGTGGTGCATTGGTCTTTGAGGGAAGAAAGGCTTTATTGCACAATCAATCAGCAAGGGGACAGGAGGCCAGGCTCGCAAATCAGTCTTGCTCATGCAAAGTATGGGGTAAGGTTTAAGGGGTCAGGGAGGGCCGGCTGGTAAGTGGAAGTGCTGGCAGGACGAGTTTCAATTGGCAGATCAAGATTTTCTATTCTGCACATGCTTCTGGCTGGCTTGCCACCCCTGAAAAATAGCTTTAACACTGTTTCTAATATGGGGTCAGTTACGAGAGGTTTCCGGGGAAAAGCACAATAATTAAGGATAAAGTTGTTACGCATATTTAAGACATTGCCTTCTCTATTGATGAGAGTTTCTAGAGATTAGAGTCATCCTCCCCTTCCTGGCACAGAGAGGGAGGCACCCTCACAAATGGAGATTTCTCTTATAAATGTGAATTTTCCCTTAAAGCGTAAATTTCAGAGTTTTTCCTGTGTCTGCTGTGTTTTTTTTTCTCAATAATAATCAGCCCAAAATAGCCCTTATGCCAAAGAGGCATATTTTGGGGTGGCAAATTCTGTGTCTGGTCCTGTGGTTACAGGATCAAGCAGACAAAAAAATTAGTAATGATCTACAAAACGTGAACAGCACAATTAACAGGCTGAGCTAATAAACATAGAAAGAACTTTCTTCCATTAATAGAGAATGCACATTCTTTGAAAGCACACAGGGAACATTTACGAAAAATGGACCACGTACTAGGCCTCAAAGGGATAATCCACAGAGACCACTTCTTCTGACCACAAAGCCAGCAAAGCCATGGCTTGGGAAGATCTTACGTGGACATGGAGCCAACCATGGACAGGAAAGCAGGGTCTCTGGGCAGAGATTGACGTATGATCCTCTTGCATGAGCAACTGGATCCTGCTGGAACCTATTTCTGCTCATGCCAGTTTTTGCTGGGTGTTTGTCATTTGCAACCCAAGAGTCCTAAATAATACAGATGCTTACAAGGAAAGGCATGGTGCAGCTACATAGACATCTTGTTATTACATGAACAATTCTTCACATTTTAGTTTGCTTCAAGTATAAAGCACACTATTTTATTTAATCCTTTATTTTTTATGATGGCCTCTTTACAGATGAAGCCACCAAGATTTCAAAAGTTTAGGTGACTCACTCAAGATCACAGCTCCAGTGAGCCCCTTCATGTGGTTCTCACAATCACTGAGTGACCCTCTGTCATTCTAATTGTGCTCCATCTGTTTCCTTGTTTTTCCACTAGACAATGAGTTCCTCAAGGGCAGGGACCGGTCTTCACCTTTGTGTCCCCACTGCCTGGCCCAGGGCCTGTTAAATATGAGGTGCCACTGATACTTATTGGCTGTGTGGCTGAAGGAAAGAATAACTTGATTCTCAAGCCAAAGAGCAAGAGATAACCTGTGAGATTGAGGGAGGCAAGAGATATGGTATTCATTAGGACTCTTTCAGGAATATGCGACAGGAAGCTAATTCAAACCACCGTCAACAAAAAAGGAGGATTTAAGAAAACCATGGAAAGACAGGTATAACTTTGACCATAGGGTTTTGAACAGTATTAAGAATCTCTCCATCTCTCAACCCAGCTTCTGAGCACATGTTGGCCTTATTCTCTCAGGCTTTGCCACGGAATGGTGAAGACGACCGCCTACAACCATCCTTACAGCTATGATCCAAGGAAGGAAGAACTGCGTATCTCTCTCTCTGCCTCTCTGTCTCTCTTTCTATCCCCACTCTTCCTTGAGGACAAATCACTAAAGCCAATGTGTGGGACAATGTTGTGGACCGCACGTCCGTGTAACCCCAAAATTCATATGGTAAAACCCTAACCCTGAATGTGACGGTATTAGGAGGTGGTGCCTTTGGGAGGTAATTAGGTTTAGATGAGGTCATGAGGGCGGAGCCCCCACGATGGGATTAGTGTCTGTATAAAAAGAGGAAGAGACCAGAGCTGTCTCTTTCTCTCTCTGCCCTGTGAGGTCTCAGCAAGAAGGTGGCCATTTGTAAATCAGGAAGAGAGCTCTCACCAGAGCTTGCCATGCTGGCACCCTGATCTCCAGCCTCCAGAACTGTGAGAAAGGAATTTGCTTGTTGTTTAAGCCACGTAGTCTACAGTATCTTGTAATAGCAGCCTGGGCTGGCTAAGACAGGCAGTACGATGGGCTGGCCTGGGACCCATATCCACTCCTGCCCAGAGAGGTAGAAGGGGCAGTTCCCTAAAGGAAGCTGGATACAGGGGCCGGCCCCATGGCTGAGTGGTTAAGTTCGCATGCTCTGCTTCAGCAGCCCAGGGTTTTGCTGATTTGGATCCTGGGTGTGGACCTAGCACTGCTCATTAAGCCATGTTGTGGTGGCGTCCCACATAGCAGAACTAGAAGGACCTACAACTAGAATATACAACTATGTACTGGGGGGCTTTGGGGAGAAGAAGGAAAAAAAAAGAAGATTGGCAAAAGATGATAGCTCAGGTGCCAATCTTTAAAAAATAAAAATTAAAAAAAGCTGGATACTATTATCAGAAGAAAAGGAAAAGGAAATCTGGACAGACCAACCCCACAGATTTTCCATTACAGTTTCATACAGACATTTAAGGATTGATCCCTTAAGAGGTGACTATGCTGTTTATTTTAATCCTCACAAGCACAAATTCATCTATTTTGTGTGTTAATGTTTTGGAGACTTTACAGATAAGTAAAGAATAAATTATACAGGTAAATATGGATCTTTTAGAATTTTCCACCTATCCTCCATTTTCTAAGGACTAATAGTATTTTAAAGGCAGAATGGTTTGAATGTCTCCACATCTGAAAATGGAGTTTCCTTTTGTTTCTTTCTTTAGTCTCTCTCAGTTTTCTGTAACTTTGGTACACTACAATTACAGGGTAGGGTGGCATAGATGAAACCTTGCTTATTGTACTTTATGGACAATTAAGGGATTTTCTTAAGGGTAATTTACACCACATTCCTCCCCTATTGCGTTTGCCTTTAGAGCCTAACCTTCTACAAAAGACGAAATCCTCTCTACTAATGTTTGCTAAGCATCTACTGTGTGACCAATATCTTACACATTTTACTTCATTTAAACCATATGAGGTTAAGGAGTTGTTAGCTCAATTTTATAGATAAGAAAAATGAGGTTCAGAGAATTTGAATAACTTACTCAAACACGCACAGCTCTTGGGTATCAGGGTTAGAATACAAATACCATTTTCCTGACTCCACAGCTCTGTGCCTTTCTGCAGGGCTCAGGAACGTTGGACAGGTCACTGTAAGGGTTATGCGCACTGGCTTTGACCAAACCAGCCCCAGGCTTGAACCCTGGAACTCCCACTTTCTAGCCCTGCGATAGTAAGAGCAAAAAGTTCTTGAATGTTTTCCCAGTGCTCAGCACTTTATATACACGATATCTCATTCAGCCTTCCTGAAAACTCTCAGAGGGAGATGTTACTATTATCATCATCCCCACCTTACAGATGAGGAAACTGAGGCTTAAGAGCAGTTATGAGCAGAAACCTCAACACAGACGATCCGATGCCAGTGCCTGTGCTCATAACCAAATGATATGGACACAAAAAGGAAACAAAGGTAGTTGAGAAGAACTGAATCCACTCTATAGAATGATCTATGTGACATGGTAATTAAGAATGTGGGCTCTGGAGCAGGCTACCTGGGGATAAATTCCAGCTCTTCCACTTGTTAGAGGTGTGACTTTGGGCCAGTCATTTAACCTCAGTGTCCTCATCTGTGAAATGGGCATACAGTAGTACCTACCTGTATTAGTTTGCTAGAGCTACCATAATAAAATACTACAGACAGGGTGGCTTGAACAACAGAAATTTCTTTTCTCACAGTGCTGGAGGGTGCAAGTCTAAGATGAACTTGTGGCAAACTTGGTTTCTTCTGAGGCCTCTCTCCTATGGCCATTTTCTCGCTGTGTCCTCCATAGTCATGCTTTGGTCTGTGTGTTGTCTGTGTCCTAACATCTTCTTATAAGGACATCAGTCATGTTGGATTAAGGCACACCCATATGGCTACATTTTACTTTAGTTACCTCTTTACAGGCCCTATCTCCAAACACAGTCACACTCTGATGTACTGGAGTTTAGTACTTCAACATATGAATTGGGGTGGGGGGGGGTGGGGGCTACAATTCAGCCCATAACACTATTTCATAGGGTTATTGTGAAGATTAAATGAGACACTACATGAAAGCAAAGATCAGGAGACCTAGAATGCTGTAAGAGTTTAATAACTGCTCAACGCAACCGAACACTTAACTCAGGCACACGGGTACCCGGTGGGTTACAAATGTTTCTTCACTAGGATATTGGCTGGAAGGGGGCCTTCTCTTCTCATCCAGGGGCTCAGTCCAGCATCACCCTTGCCTTAGGATCTATCTCGGTCCCACAACTCCCCATCTTGATCTCACAACTGTTCCATTCTGGTCTGGCCACTCCCTGGGGTCAAAAAGAATTTCTTCCCGTAGAGAGTTCTCACCTTCTTTCTGTAATTATTCCAAGGTTAGTCTTTATTTTAAAATGAGAAGACATTCTGTCCCAGCTGCTCACAGCTCTGCAAGTGCCTTTCCAACAAGACTGCTATTTCTACTGCTTGGGCAAGCCACTTATTAAAATTTAACGACAATCACCTACGTTGATAAAGCCTTTTTCAGTTTACAAAGCTTTTTTCCATTCATCATCTCTTTTTATCCTCACAACATCTGTAGGAAGGACGTATGTTTTTCTCCATTTTATAAGTGAAGAAAATAAGGCTCTGCGGAGTAGCACCATTGTCCTGGCCACACACAGTTAATCAGTGGCAGAGATGGGTCTCAAATCCTGGTCTGTTGGTTCTAATATGTCAGCATAGCTCACCTATTCAGGTATTCTTCTACAATATAAATAATCAGATATACCAGCCCTGCTCTCTTTTGGGGGATGTAGGTAAGTTATTTGGGACTATTTTTATTGAAAGTGACAAAAAGCCAACTCAAACTGGCTTAAGCAAATCCGAATTTGTCGGCTCACCTAACAGAACAGTCCAGAAGCAGATCTTCAGGCATGGATGGATCAAGGTGCTCAAACTATGTCATCGGGACTGTCTCTCTCCATTTCGTAGCTTCCCTCTATGCTCTCCTTATTCTCAGACAAGCTTGAGGTGTCAAAGATGGCTCCCAGTAGCTGAAGCTTATCATTCCCTCAGCTCAACAAACTCAGTAGAAAAGAATACCTCTTTATTGTAAACTGCAACAAATGACCTGGATACCATTCTCAACTGTTTGGTTAGCTTATGGACCCACCCCTGAACCAATCATTGTGTCTAGAACAACGGAGTATTCTCATTGTCCAGCCCTGATCATTTTCCCCCTCTGGAGAAGAGTATGGTGGCGGTTGGGGGTGAGTCTCACCAAACCCAGGGATTGAGTGAGGGGGGGAAAAGAGTTTCTTTAAAGAAAATGTATTGATGTCAGAAGTGGTGTGGTTAGTAGGCAGATCTCTACAGGGCGTCTTTGGTCTGCAGAACTAGAATAGAGCAATTGGTGAGGAACTGGAAGCCCATCTTAGCAAGAAATCCCAGGTCCTACCTTGAGAGAGAGTAGTAAGTGGACTTCTGCGGTTTTTAACCTGGACTGCCTAGGTTGGCTCCGCAGGATAGAAAAAAAGGCAATAATTCATGGCAGAGTTACTAGAAAAGATGGAGCTTCCGGCTCCAGTAACTTGTTCTGTTCAGAACAGAAGCAAACCAGGAGCACTCACAGGAGACTGTGAGGTGCTCTTTGAGGATGACCACTCGCCGGCTCCCTCCTCCCAGCATCCCCTATTTCCCCACAACACTGTGAGCTCCAGGAAAGCAGGGACCACATCTCTTCACCCTCCATCTTCTCCCCAGGGCGTAGCATACTGCTGTGCCTGGCACAAAACACGGGCCTATCACACTCTTATTGCATGGACAAATAAATTGACGAACCAGGTTGATGAGTCCGATCTGCAGGATCCATCGCCCTCTTTGTAGAAGTCAATCTCCCTCTTTGGCCTTTTTTCTCCATCTGTCGGGTGGGAGAAGGTATAGAGGGAGACTTTTTCCACAGCCCCTTCCAGCTCCAGATTCTAGGATCTTAGGAGTCTCAGGAGCCAGCCAGGATGTCTTCTGCAAGGACCCGATGCAAGGGGAAACCAAATTTATTGAGCACTCTGTGCTCAGGTGAGATGACCACCATAGGTCTGAGGTCCCCAATATGTGGGATTTCATGGACCCATGAAATTTTTTAAAACTCTGAGGTGGAGGTAACCGTCTAATTTTTATTTTGCCAAAGAAGGGCACTAAAAAACCCCAAGCTTCCCTTAAGTATCATCACCATTTCTTTAAAAAGGGCAATTTTTACTCTCAGAAAGCAGGAAGCACATAATCTCAGAAAAAAAGAATAGTCTTTCTCCCTCCTGGAAAAAAAAAGTTGGCAACCTTACATGAATATTTTCTGCAGATAAATGTAAATTACATCAGCCTGACCCCTGTGTGGAGTCCAGTGTTTGGAACCCACTAGCAGATTATTTTTTGACCCCCACATCCACTGCCTGTGAAGTGGGGCTTAATCTGCCCACTTTGAAGATGGGGAAACAGAGGTTCAGACAGAGCAAGTGCAAGGTCGCAGAGACACTAAGTAACAGAATTCGTCTGGGTACCAACCCAGATCATCTTGGCGGATCCTAAGCCAAAAGCAGATCCTAAGCCAAAAGCTACTTCCCTGCAGGGAAAGAAATGACCCACACTGGCTCCCTAGGAGTGCCCCGGGTGTTCTGGCCCAACCTTGAGCCTGGGCTTGGCCGCTTTGTTCTTTAACATCTTTATGATATGCGCACTTCATGCCAGGCCCTGGGCAGAGTGCAGGGAGGGAAACGAACACGTTCCCAGCCTCCTGTCTCCGTCCCCGATACTCACCCTGGGTCCTGTTCCCCGGGGCCCGCTCCTTGTGCTGGCGGCCAACAAATCCCCACCGCGGACGTGGGCTGCTAACAGTTTATGGGGTTCCTTCTCCCAACGGTGCTGGCAGTTTCCTAGGAGACTCTGGAAACCTTCAACGCCTCCAAGACTCAAAGGACTGGAAGCGTAATGGTGCAATTTGAGGCACTGTGAGAGTCTGTAGGGAAGGTAATTTGGGAGCAAGAGATCAGTTCAAACCCTATCAAATAATACCCTGTTTGGCCCCTCCCCCATTCCCCTGGGCTTAGCAGGAGACCTACAGCCCCACAGCTCAGGCTGGAAGGAGGAGGTCCCCCAAACCAGAGGGCCCTACTGTGGACGGAGCTTATTGCTCCAGCTGGGGGACGCCGGGGACCGCGCTTTCTCCGACTGCCAGAACCAGAAGCGCCCCTCCCCGTTCCGCCCCGCCCCGCCCCGCACGCCCGCCCGCGGCGGGAGCGCGCCTCCGCCGGGCTACGCGGGTGCACGAGAGCGCGCGCTTCGGCGCCGGAGCGCGCCCCGGGGAGAACCCGAGCAAGATGGAGGCCGCGCCGAGGCCGCCGCCTGGGCCGAGGCAGCCGCTGCTACGAGCGTCGAGCCGTGGTGCCTAGGCCGTGCCAGTCTCGGACCTGCTGCCCCCGAGCGGGCCCAGGTTGGTCTCCCCCATCCCCTCCCAGCGGCGGCAGCCTCCGCGCGCGTCCGGCCTGGGCGCGGGGCAGCATCCCTCCTACCCCCGGCCCTACCCGGGCCCGGCCGCTCTCCAGCGCCCCGAAGACAGCTCCTGCCCACCGCCCACTCCTCGCGGCCCGGGCTGCCTGCAGGCCCCGGTCCCTTGCCCCCTTAGCCTGGAAACCCTCTTTCCCCAGCCCTGGCCCGCCAATCCTAGGCTTCCTCCCAGCTTACATCCAGCCCTGGCTTCTGAGGGACCCCCAACCCCGCTGCCCCGTGTCCAGACTCTGCAGTCCTAGCTCCCGACTCCCCTCTACCCTCATCCTGATTTCTCTACTTCTCCCTCTTAGACCCTCGTACCAGCCCCCACTCCCTGTCCCAGCCCCCATATCACCTTCCCAATCCCCCAGTACCCTCGCCTCTTATATTCCCTTCTTACCCCCTCATAGAAGCGCCCACTTCCCTCTCCATAGCCCCTTTATAGACACCTAATACCAGACCTCCTTCTATTCCTAATACCAACCCCTACATTCCCTCCCGTGCTCCCTTATACAGTCCCTCTGCTCATCCTCCAACATCGGTCTCCAGCCTCCAATTCCATCTCCCCCTGGTCCCCTCTCACTCCCCCAATACCAGCCCCCAAGCCCCCTCCCTAACTCTCCCATGACCACTTTCTAGCCCCCCCCCCCACTTCCAGCTCCCATATCCTTATCCCAGCCCCCCAACTTTCACATGGCCCCTTCCTAGATCCCCAACTGGAGATCTTTGCCAGTCCCCACCATAGACACCACCCCAACACTCTCATGACCTCTTCCTAGCTCCCCCATACCAGCCCCCAGGTTCCCCCGGCTCCGCCCCAGGCCCCACCCTCGCGAGTTCCTCGGCTCAGGGCGGCTTCTCACGTGCGTCCCCAGCTCCCGCCCGGCAGCCCGGCGGTCTGTCCCGGGCCGGCGGCCCCCGCCAGCCCCCGCCGCCGCCGCTGCCGCCGGCCCCGCCCCCGGGCACCATGCTGCCCTCGCAGGAGGCCTCCAAGCTCTACCACGAGCACTACATGCGGAACTCGCGGGCCATCGGCGTGCTATGGGCCATCTTCACCATCTGCTTCGCCATCATCAACGTGGTGGTCTTCATCCAGCCCTACTGGGTGGGCGACAGCGTGAGCACCCCCAAGCCTGGCTACTTCGGCCTCTTCCACTACTGTGTGGGCAGCGGGCTGGCGGGCCGCGAGCTCACCTGCCGCGGCTCGTTCACCGACTTCAGCACCATCCCGTCCGGCGCCTTCAAGGCGGCCGCCTTCTTCGTGCTGCTCTCCATGGTGCTGATCCTCGGCTGCATCACCTGCTTTGCGCTTTTCTTCTTCTGCAACACCGCCACCGTCTACAAGATCTGCGCCTGGATGCAGCTCTTGGCAGGTAGGGGAGGGGCGGGGGCGTGACCCCTAGAACAGGCGCTAGGGATGGGGCCTCCTTCCTTCCGTTTCTTGGAGGAGTCAGAGCTAGATTCTGCTCCTCTGTCTAAAGACACACCTCCTTGGCTGTCCGTAAGCAGCCACTGGGGAGGGCATTCTATGAGAGAGACATCTTGGGGCAGGATTGGGTCTTTGGGTCTGTGGATATGGGCATCGATGGGTTAGCATTATGCTAGAGTCTCTTGAGGGTCTCTGAGAGTCTTTGTTGGCTGTCTTAGGGGAAATAGTTAAATGAACGAAGAGTTATTCTAGGTGTGAACAATTTCTGTTGTATTGAACAAAGTGTGAGGTGGGGTATCAAGAAATCTGACTTTGACCTTTAACTTGCTGACATTATCAACTTGAGTGTTCCACTTTACTTCTTTGAGACTTGGTTTCCTCATCTGTAAAACAGTGGAGAGGATTCCAAGAACTTGTAAACTTTAAAGTGCTACGATAATATGAGGGGGTAGGAGGAGGCTGTCTATAATGTCTATTCAATGTTTCAAATGTAGGTGGTTGACAGCACCTGGCAACATGAGTCTCTAGAGGGCAGGTCTCCACCCCCGACCCCCACCGAATGCAGGAAGAGTTCTGGTGCCCAAGGGGAATGAGTCCTTGGGAGCCTCTGAATGTTTGGCTAAGACAGACATCTTGCCCTAAGAACCAGAGAAAGGCCTTTTGGGAATGAGAACTGCTGAGACACTTTTCAAGGATCCATTAGAGTCTCTACCCTCACCCACCTTTCAATCGAAGACAGATTTTTAAGATTCAGCAACTTGGACATTTGCCTAATTGCAGGCAGGAAAGAGAGTTTGGCTCAGGAAAGTGGGGCCAGGGGATGGTAGGGATGGGCAAGGAGGGCTAGTGAAACTAGGAAAAAGTCTGGAGCTCTGAAAGGATGAGGAAGAGAAGGAAAAATGTGATGACCATGCAGCAGAGATGGTTTTTCAAAATAAGCACCTCAGGGCATTCAACAAGTGTGGGCCCCTTCAAAAGAGACCCCCAGGAGGAGGTGTTATATTATTTGTTGATGATTCCACCGCTCAAAACATTGTAGGGAATTGTCTTCGGAGCATGGAGTGTATTCTCTTGAACGTCATCATTGAGAGGAAACTCCATCTCTTGAAGGAGGAATATGATTTTTGGAAATGGCTGGAAGTCACTGAGCCAAGTGTAGAAAGTACGATGGGTGATCATGTTGAGAATTGTCACTTGGGATGAGAGCCAAGGTCTGAGGGCAAAATCCTGAGGTGGTTTCCTTCCCCAAGAGGACTTTAACAAATGCAGGGAGGGATTACTGCCCACTGGAAGAAATGCCCAAATTCCCAAAAGGACGGCGTTGAAGAAGGCAGCATTTATTCAGATGCAGACATTCTAATGGGCTTGTTTCAAATACGTCTCACTCCGTTCAACTTAGATGTGGGTCTTTTAGGATCTTTGAAGAAGATGAGAAAGGAGAATTGTAGGATGTGGGGTTTTCTCTCCATATTTCCAGTGGTACCCAGAAGGTGATTTTATCTATCTCCATTCTGTTCTTCTTCCAAAAGCAAGCTGGAAAGAATATATGCTCAGCTCGGATCCCTAATTCCTCAACCTTGATTTTGAGTCTGCAGATGGGATGCTGACCTCTAGCCTTCCAATTCTCTGTAATCCATATGCGTTTAATCTTGGGGATTTGATGAACTGTCCAACTATCCCCATGTAATTACAGAATTTCAGGGGTCTTAGTGATCAGCTCCTTCAAATCTCACTTCCCCCCCCGCCTCCATTTTAGAGAGAGGAGACTGATACTATGGAAAAGGTCTTACCTACAGTCACACAGCCAGAAGGGAGTAAACTAAGTCTTGACTCCTGGCCCAGTGCTTTTTCCCTTGTGTTCCTGCCCCACCGCTGAGGGTTGAGGGGGTCCAGTGAGCAGAGTGGAGCAGTTTATTTCATTTTGCATAGAGATTTCTGAGTTCTCAGGGTAAGGGACTGATTCACTTTGCTTAATAAAGTGACACCAGGACAGGGGCCAGAGCACTGCACTACGAGTCATGGGATGGGGGATCTTGGCTGGCTCTGCCTGTGACTCACCGTGCAGTGTTAAGCGATTGTTTTTATCTTAGATCTCAGTTTTCTCCTCTATACAGTGGAAAACTAATCAATTAGATTAGTGGATTTAAAGTATCTTTTTCAGCCCATGGGGCTCCTAGAACAACTCTTTCACCAAGATCATTCCATCCAGAAAGTGAGAAATCAGTCATCCTCAGAGGAGCTGCAGAGAAGCAAAAGGCCTTGTTTGTATCAGATAAGAATTGAATGTCTGTTGTATGGCTCTTGTTCAAGTGAAATTTTGTTCAAGTATTTTGGAGTCTTCTAAGCACACTGCACTGGACCATTGGGAAGATGCAAAGAGATACTTATCCCTTTGTTTACTCCTCACTTGCTCCATGATCGTCCCTGTCCCCAAGGATCTTAGGCCTGTAAGACACAATTCCTGCTCTCAGGAAGCTTACCATCTAGTTGGATCACAATATTGATCAGCAATCTCTCAGTGGCTTAAAACCCAACTCAAACTGGCCTAAATAAATAAAAATAAAGAGGGTAAGGTTTTTGTCTCACACAACTTTAAACTCAAGAGTATCTTGCTGCAGGCATGCATGGATCCAGATGCTCATTAAGAACATGTTTCTCTCCATTTCTTGGTCTCATTTTTAAGTCTACTTCTCTCTTGAAGGTGATAAATAAGGCTACTAGCAGCTCTGAATTTACATTGCTTCAGCTTATGAATGCTGGTTACTCCATGGCTCCAGTAAAAGTTCCAGGGCTGAGTCTCATTGGCTCAGCTTTGGTCAAGTGTCTACCTCTTAATTAATAATTGCAACTTTTTCTAAGCCCTCGGCCACATGCCCATCCCTGCCAACACATGGATTGATAATGGAGAAAGGTCAGTTCCCCAAAATGGAAATCAAGGATGAACCCTGAAAGAGGGTAGGTAAGACAAGTGCAGACAGAAGCCTCACCCCGGATGGTCTGAGCACTGGTATGCTCTGGCCTGTAAGTGCTGAGGAAACCCAGGGCAACTGAGGAGGCTGCTGGCTTAGCTGGGAGGTGAGGCTTGAGTTGGGCAGGGTGTGGACAGGTGTGGGAGAGCATTCTGAATGGAGAGGAAGATCACGGGCAGAGACACAGACGTGAGAAAGCCACATCTGGCTTGAGTGGTATTCACATAGGGGAGGCCAGGAAGGAATGATGGGCCACAGCGCGATGCTCTGAATACTGGGTCAAGGAATTTGGACATTAGTCAGCAGGCAGTTGGAAGCTACTATGACTGTCATTATCATTCAGGAAAAATAGTTAACGTTTTCTGAGCCTCTACTCTATGCTCGACCATGTGCTAACCATTTACATGCATAGTATTATTTAATCCTCACAAGAATTCGATGGAGTAGGTACCATTATTAATATTTTATAGATGAGAACACTGAGGCTCAAAGAGGAAAGAGTCATTTGTCCAAGGTCATACAAGTGGCAAGTAGTGGAGACAGGATTGTAACTTGGTCTGTCTGAATCTAAAGCCCAAGGATTTATAAAGGAGCATTAATGGTGGGGATGGTGGCAGGATGTTTTTGTCAAATGCTAAGTAAAGAGGCGGGAAGATCCAGGTGGCTCTTTATGGAGTTAGGGTCAGCTTTTCAGGGCTTCTCAGGACACCTCTGCTATTCTTTACCTGGTCTTTCCATTTACTGAGAACATACAATGTGCCAGCTTCTATGCTAGGCACTTTCACATTTGTTGTGTCATTTAATCTTTATCTGTTAAAATGACTTGCCCAAAGGTCACACATCTGGTGAAAGGTGGAACTGAAACAATGCAAATACGAATGGATCTAGAACCTGTTCTTACCACTAAACTGGAACCCAGGACATGAGTTTACAGATTACAAGTTACAGCTGTAAGCTCTCTGTACTCAATGTTTACCTGCGGGCCAGGTGAGCTTAGCCAGAGGGAGGTTCCTGGATGGAGTAGAAACTCAGGCTGGAAGCCTGGTTGATGGTTTGAGGGGGCAGCATGGGGTAGAGGTTTAAGAGCAGAGGATTTAAAATTCCCGCTCTGCCACTTCCCAGCTGTGTGGCCTCGGATAAGTGGGTTTTCCTTTCTGAGTCTCAGTTTCCTTATCTATAAAATGGAGATTATTATAGTGTTTACCTCAGAGGTGGTAGAAAGAAATAAGCAAAATGATGGGTGTAAAATGCCGCGTGTGATTCCTAGTGTACAGTAAGCACTCAATAAATGGTCACCGTTATTCCTGTGGCATAGTCCAAGTGAAGAACAGCTTGTGAGGAGCCCTTGATGCTCAGGTGGAAGGGTTTGGACTTACTGGGATGGTCAAAGGCCTTGAGGGTCATAAACTGTCAGCTGGAAAGGGTGTGACCAATAAGCTGGCCCAACTCCCTCATTTTATAGATGAAAAAACTGAGTCCCAGAGAGAGGAAGAGACAAGTTTACAATGACAAAGTGAGACTCCTCCTTCCACAGAAAGGAGATGATTCTGACCACAATTCATTCAATATTGAGTGCCTACTGTGTGCTAGGCACTGCCCTGGTGCTGGAGTCACAGCAGAGAACAGAATGTGTGCGATGGAGTGGGAGCTAGTGGGGACTGAGCTGGAGGCAGCAGCTGGGCTGGCTGGTGATCCAGAGGTGGGCGTCTTCCAGCCTTCCAGATGTGTTTCCTAATCGGTGGGGTTCCCTGGGCTAGGAGCAGCAGTGACAGGAGCTCTTGTCCCTGCAGCTTAGAATGGGCATCCACACTCCTCCCCATTTCCCTGGGGTTTGTTTTAGATTTGGTTTGGGATTTTAATCATCCGATAAGTCTTTCTTGTACGTTTATGACACTGCTGAGCACATTGGGGGAATTTCTTTCCTCCCTCCCTCATTTTCTTTCTTCCTCTCTCAACACTCACTTCCTTCCTTCTG